TCACACAGTCTAATTTAGAGCCTGGACACCAAGGACATCAGCCATGTAGGGCACCTTGAGCATCAGGCGCTGAGCAGCAAATCACACTGACAAACTGTTGGCACACGGGTAAACAGAATCCATTATTGTATCACTCCTGTAATGCTGAATTTGATAGCATTAATTAATAGATAGAAGAAGTAAGGATAAAACAAGTACTCTCAAACAACTTGGAGAAGGCTGTGTGTTACGGAGACCAAAAACAACCATAACACACATTTGTGCAAACAAAAAAATATATATATAGCATGAGGGTAAGAGTTTTTCACACTAAATTTGAAGGGTTCGTTTAAGAGGAAGATAAAGGAAAGAAGATGTCATCCACCTGTGGCTCCAAGAGTTTGATCCATACTGATTTAGAGTCGGGACTCTTCTGACCAAGATTGCATTTCTAATATAAGAAAGGCAAGTTCTCCATCAAACATGGACAGTTAATCATAACGATGAACTGCAGGCACACGAGGAGCCTGAATCCCACTATTAGGCGAAATAACACACACTTACAGAAGACTGGGCAGCTATGAGAAGCCCCAATCAAAACGGGATCAGTGCCATGAAACTAGCATTTGAGATAGCTGAAAACATAGTATATTTATCTGGAGTTAAAAGCAAAAATAAGTAGAAAGGAGGAATTTATTTCTGCAGATGCATTTTGGGTCACAACCCATATGGAGGTGATGTGTCAACACTGTTAATTCAATTCAATAAAGAACAATTTGGTGGTTTGACATGGGAGCCTTTGGCCATCAAAGCCAGGAATAACCTGCCAACTTTGTGGATGTAAACAAGCTGCTGTTTATGATAAAAACCATGTTAACGAAGAACAAGATAGGGAAGCAGGATTATTTAATAACTGTCATTGCGTTTAAAATGCAATAATCTTTACCTGATAAAGATACCGTCCTTGTTTTTGGTCAACACCATCCTTCTTCAACAGGTTTTTCCTCTTGTTCCTCCCTCACTTCAGATCAAATGATCAAGAATGAATGTGGCTGATGTTGCTGTGCATGCAGAGCCTCCATGTCAATCACTAGAAACAAGCTGTGTACTCAAACACTTGGAGTAAATGATGTTATATAAGAGACTTCTCCTGTATACGAGTAATGGTAGCATGATGTTTGATTTCATATTCCTTACTTGCCGATGCATTTTCCTGCGATGAGACCATTGCAAGTTGGGATGTTGAAACTATATCTTGTCTAGCAGCTGTGCTACTAGACACAATTTTCACCATGCTTCCAAACATCTTGTGTGTAGTCATTATAAGAGGTAAGCATCAGTTAAAACAAAAGTTGTTTACATCTGTCATATGTCAGCCCTCTGATTTTAAGAGAGATCATTTTAGTGAAAATAGAAGATTAGATGTTACAAATTCTGTCAGACACAACTTTGGTTAGTATTTTATGTTTTTTCAGTAATTGCATTTCTCTCATGTTTAATTCATACTTTTTTTTGAACAATTAAGGCAACCAGGAACCACAATACTACAAACAAAAGTTATGAGAGAACAAGGATCTAAACACACGGTTTCTATAACACTGGAAACATTATGCAAAAATAAGATCGTGTGCTGGTGGAAACATTTTCTGAAGTCCTCATGAGCTCTGGATGTTTCCACTTCCCGCCGACTGAAATATCTAAGTAAATGATGGTCTTTGAATATGTAAGATGGAAAGGCTTATGTTTAAAAAAAGAAAAAGACTAAATGATCTCTCAGATCTTTCACTTCCTGTGCAAGTTCCTTCCTGAGGTGCTCAGGCAGAACACTCCTGGCTTTGTGAAAGTCAAGTCTTTCACATCCTGTCTGAGGGCCACTCGTTGAAAACTCATCTTTATGAACATGTTTCCAAACCTCTGATCATTTCAGTCTGTGCTGCTCGTCCACAGGTGTCCTAGCAGATTGGTTTTGGATTCAGAATCCCACGAGGTTCTTGTTCACGTTCACGTTCTTGTTCTTGGAGGACTTTGGCTTTCTCACCCTCTTCTTGTCTGAGTCTTTGTTATTATGACTAGCTTTAATGTCCGATTCCCACTTTTTTTTCTCCAACGTGTAGAGCCTCATGGTGGCCTGTGCGTCTTGGACCTGGTAAACAGTGGATAGTGGGTACAAGACGCTTTATTTTTATATTTTTACTGTGTAATAAACAGTCAATGTGAGAGAAATAGGAAAACAATTGGCACACTTTTTGTTAAGTGGGTAGTGTGTTTGATGACTTACGGATGAATGTTCGCCCTGTTGGACTTTAACGTTGAGTATTTCTCTGCAAAGCAGTTTCAGCGATGGTCGACCACTCTAAAAATAAAAATAAATAATCACATAACATTAAACACTGATTCTTAGATTTGGTAAAGTGGGGTGCACAACTTCAAAAAGTAAACGTACCTTTACAATCTTCCTAAAGGGTTTGTACTTTTGAGTGTCCCGGATTTTCTTTTTGGGATGATCCAAGAGTAAAATCTGAAACAGCAGATACAAATATTTAGCTAAACAAGAGCCTTCATTTATTTTGAAAATGATTCAAGTTCCTGCTCAGATTCTCCATCCAGGCTACCTTTAAGTCATTGTGTATGGCATGTCCGACTACTATTCTGCCTTGCAGGATTTCAGCAACCTCCCTCTGCACAGTCTGTAAATCCTCTCCTGCAGTGAGGCAAACATGGATGTCAAGTCATGGAGTTACACAGCATGCAGACGTTTTAAAAGCAATGAACTATAACTTGTATTAGTTTCTCACTACTTACCGTCTATGATGTCTTCTGGTCTGATGCCACTGAAAGCTGTCCTGTAGTCTGTCACCTTCTCTGTGGGTTTCACGTATTTGTCATAGATGCATTTTCCAAACTGGTTCACGAGGGACGCGCGAGCCAAGATGCTTTCCTCTCCGTCAGGACCGACTCCCACCATCTCGCAGTCAATGGCCACGGCTCTGGTGAGGCTAACGGTGGGCGAATGGTAAACAAGGTGATGAGTGGACAGTGTTCACTACGACATCAACCTGCCTGAGGAAGATCTGTTTTTGTTGCATATGTTGTTAACCAGAAGCTTTATTTGCCAAGTATGTACACATACAAGGAATTTGACTTTGATAAGACAATTTGAATTCCTCTCCGTTTGTCTGTATTGAGCCATTTATCTTGAGTGCCACATTTCTCCATTGCATGTAGTAGTGTTTGACACTTTTAATGTGTTTTAAATTAATTAAAACCAGCTCCAAGTCTATATGTCAAATGTCAAATGGGAAACACAAACAGAAATCTAAATATTATAACTTATTATTATAACTAATTAATCAGTCTTTAAACTCACCTTATTTTTACTGTACTGTAGAAGAGTGGTATAAATCGTTCATTTATCTAAAGGCGATAAAGCAAATAAGTAAATGCCTCAAAAACGACCCCAAACTATTCTTCTAAATAAGGGCCATTGATAAGATGCAAAGGGACCGCAAACACAGCAGATGGACCAGTGCCAATGTTGCATTCTGGTTCAATTGGATGTCACACTCGTACAAGTGTTACATGAAGCATTTGTGCTACAAAAGACCACCAACGTTGTCCTCACTCACCCCTCAAAGGCTTTCTCCTTGACCAGGGAGCTCTCTGTGTCATTGCTCTTGTGAATGCCCTGCTTCTTCCTCATGATGTCTGCTGCCTCAGCTCCCACCGTCGCCTCGATGTCATCCGGGTCTACATCATCAAACCAGAGGTCCGCTCTGCAATAGCAAAAAACAAGATGAAGTTAGTGGACACAATTCCTCTTGACCTCAATATAAGCAGACATCAGTGCTTCTTACTCTGTAGGTTTTGTCTCTTCCACCATCTTCTCCATCTTCTTTTTCTTAGCTGGCTGCTCGCCGTTCATCTTCCCACTGTCCTTTTTCCTTTTTGGAGCAGCAGACTGTTTGACCTCAGAGACAGCTGGACCCTTTGAGTTCACCTTAGAGTCCTTAGGGGCAACAACAACAGCTTTTTGCTTCTCTTTTTTCCCGGTGTCTTTCTGCCCAGGATTGTTCTTGGAAATATTTTTAGTAGTTTTCTCTTTCTTTAGCAGAGCACCATTGGGAGGTTTTGGTGTCACAGGCTGCTTCTTCTCCGGCTGACTGGCCTTCAACATCTGTGGAAAGTTTAGCAAAGTGTTAAACTTCAGTAAACTGAATGTGATTACATCTATTAAACAGATGTGAAACATGGTAACAAGTTAGAGACAGATCATTTCAATGACAAACCTCTTGTAAGGCCTTCCAGTTCGCAGAGAACTGCAGGCCATCCTTTGGAGGAGCCACCTGCTGGACTTTAGCTTTCTCCTGTTTCTGGGGTTGAGGCTTTATGGTTTTAAACTTCTCCTTCATCCACTGTTTCCTCTTATTTTTAACTGTGTATTTGTTTTCTGTAGTTGCAGGTCCTTTTTTAACAGACGAGTCTTTTGTCTTTTCCTTCACCGCTGACATTGTGGCCACTTTTGATAAAATATTTTTCGAAGTAAAGTATGTTAACCGTCCCCAGCCACGTTGGACCGTCAGAGCTGCGTCGCTTAGTTACCGTTTAACGTTATAAAATCAACCGTCAACTCGGTCTCACCAACACATGTTACCCCGGAGTAAATGTACCTTTTAGCGAAACCAAAACAGATAAAATCTTAGTATGTTTTCCTTATCTGCAATGAAATGTGCTCAGTGAACTACAGCAGATCCAAAGCCATGCTGAAATGTATATTTCCGACACGTGCATCAGCCAAATGTGTCCGGTAGAAACACGAGCTCGTAAAATGCGTATGTGTAGTTATTTGTTAGGCTTTAATAAATCAACCATTGTCCTGCATTTTTCAACTTATATTCACTTTAGTGTATGTGATATGTTAATACGCTAAAATATATATAACTTGCTGTTTGTTTTGCTTCTTATTCGAAAGACGGAAACTCGTTGTGTGGCAAACGTTGCATATCGGACCGAATATAACTTCGGACAAAACGTAGGCGAGATGTTTGACAGTTTGGAAAAGAAGCAGCCTACCTTTCGATAAAAGTCGATAGTTAAATGTTTTTACTTACATTTCAGATACATTCGCCATGTTGTTTATGTCAATGTCGTCGTAGTAAATTACTAAAGCTCAGTTTAGGTGTGTTGTCAGGAAGATATCTGGTAGCTCTTTGAAAGGCATTCATCTAGAATTCAAAGGTATGTAAGTGGGTCAAACATGGATTTTAAGCTTTATTTATTCTTTTAATCGACACTTCATCTTCTTGCTTCTTTTGTTGTGGTTTCAGATCATGGTGGTAAACTCTCCTTCTCCTCTGCCTGAGAGAGCCATCTATGGGTTTGTCCTTTACCTAGGCTCTCAGTTTGGCTTCTGTAAGTCACATATTTTCATCTAACTCATCCAGTATTGAAATGCTTAACACGTCTAGATAAAATATAGATATTTAGGGTATTGAATAGCATGTTTGTTACGGTTTTAATACATAGCAATAGCATAGGCAGTCCAGTGCGATTAAAACAATTGCAATAAGATCTGCATTTTGATAAGGGGATGTTGTTATGTTATTATTATGAGGATTTGTTGCCATAGTTGTGTGTGCAAAATACCTGCAAAGCGCATATCTCCAATGTAAAATACTCTTAGTAGGTATGCAAACATAACAAATGTGTCATCCATATCAATAACACATTAACGTTCCTTTTATTCTCTCCACAGTTCTGTATTGTCTGTGGGCATTTATACCAGAGGAGTGGCTTCATTCAATAGGGCTCACTTACTGGCCTCAAAAGTAAATATAAAGACCATGATTGGATAGTAGTTATCAATTAACAAAATAGTTAATACATAATAAAAGTTTTATGATCCATTAACTGAGACATTTTCCTTCCTTGTGCAGATATTGGGCCCTTGCTGCACCCATCTATCTGCTGGTGACGTTAGTGATTATTCTGGTGTTGCTTTTCGGTGTGAACATGAACAATACGGCTCCACTGGACTCCCTGGACAACATGACAGGTGAGGACAAGCTATATGCTAACAGCGACTTATTGTTTAGGTCGCAATTCACCTGTAGGGCAACATTAACACACCTCACTATACACATACAGTATTAGTACTACAGTATAATGACTTCTGCAACACATACCAAAAGCAACATAACCAATTATCAAAAAATATATAATTGAAAATAGGAAAGCATATTTAAAAGGATATCATACTGTATGTATGTTATATTCTAATGATAATATATATGATACAGTTATTTTGACATCATATTTCAATGCTTCCCTTTTTGTTACAGATGTGTACGCTAAAGGTCAGAAGACAACAGACTGCAACAAAGGGGGAATACCCAGACTGAGAGATATTGACATTAGTGAAGTCAACAGAATGTTTTATTTGCCACCTAAGCTATGACAAACAGAAACACATTTTAGTTGGACGCCAAGAAGAAGGAAGGCTGCTGGGTATTTAATATGGTGTCACGGTTTTCATCTTTGTTTATAAAGAATTCTGCTTTGTTTATTTACCAAAGATCAATGCAACATGGGGACAATGTGGTATGTTCCGGATCTACATTGGACAAAGTGTGTGTGTGTGTGTGTGTGTGTGTGTGTGTGTGTGTGTGTGTGTGTGTGTGTGTGTGTGTGTGTGTGTGTGTGTGTGTGTGTGTGTGTGTGTGTGTGTGTGTGTGTGTGTGTGTGTGTGTGTGTGTGTGTGTGTGTGTGTGTGTGTGTGTGTGTGTGTGTGTGTGTGTGTGTGTGTGTGTGTGTGTGTGTGAAGCTGTAATATGTTGAGTGTGATGTAACACAATGTCACCAATAACTTATTGTTGGAGCATGTAATATATGATTATATTCAATAAATCAATTTGTATACATGTTTGCTTTATGCAAAGAAAATGTGATTAATATTTGTAACAAATATCATAAAGAAGATATCTTACATAATATGTTTGTTCCATTGCGATTATCAAGGGGAAGATAGTAACCTCAGTGTCCACTGCTAAAATACTAGGAGTGAAGCTACAAAATGCCATGATTCTGACTTACAATGTTAAGGCACAAGATACATCTGATCTTAACTAGACCTCCGACTCAGATCTACTTCAGTCCCAAAGTATATATGTTAATGTTTTATTTTGAGTGTCTTACCTACATTTCCTCTTTTTCACTTTAAGTTCCGCACCATATTTATTGATGCTATATATGTTTAACTGATAAGCAGTTTTCTCTTTACAGTACAGGCTTCCTGCTTCTGCCAATATAGAGTGAATTCATAAACTCTATACACAAAGGGGATATCTTTTAAAAAGACAGGGGGAAATCAGCCATTCTCTTCCCCCTATTATACCGTTTTTCATCAATATATTATAGGTCTCAGATATATACAAAACATGTCTCTGAAGTGTTTTGCTCGAAATACCAAGCAGATCATGCATTGCAGCATTACCCATAATCCCCTCTGTTTCAGCCCTGTTTCCAAAGTGCTGATTCTCTGTCTGTTACTTTAGATGAAAATAAGGAGCCACTCCCCACGCCCCTCTGAGAGATGTTTGGTTAAAAAGAACACAATGGTGCTCTAGGAGGAGATGCAGGTGATGTGGGGGGGGGGGGGTACCTTGGTTTTTATATACAAATGGATCAGGACAAAAAGAGAAAACAAATGTTACTGAAACTTTCAGAGTCTCTTTACACAGAGGGGACACATGTTTATGTATACAATACATGAAAAAGTGGATTTTGAATAATAGGTGACCTTTCACTGTGTTTTGGTCACTTCCAGTTTTGCACAAGAAGGGCACTTGTCTTTGTCAACAATCTCCTGACAAAGCATAATTTGTAAACCAGCATGCACAAGATGCCCCTTCGACCCCGCCAAATCGGAAAATAAGTGTCTTTGGTTCTTAGCATGAAGATAGAAATGGGAAAACAGTCTGGTTCTGTATTTTTTTTTTTAAACTAAAGGATGTTTACCATTTCATGTGGCAGACTATTTCTCCCTCCAAATCGGACAACAAGTGTCTGTATTTGGTTCATTTCGGGGAAGCAGCACAATGAGAGCCCCTCTCCCTGAAGGTCATGTCTTCTGCTTCATGCTTTCCATTTTCTACAGTATTTAGTACTGTGATAAACACAGATGTGATCTCGGGTTAGGACATCGCTGTTGAGTACAAGAACATTGAAATAAATAGATCATTTGATAGATGTCAGAGAAGATGGCCCAAGGCAGGATCTGGCCATTGTTGCCATTTTTTGACAGGGGCATTGTGTAACTTTTTTAAGGGAGAAGACCCTGTGATGGAGAAGATGAGTTCTCTAGGAGGAGATTCAGGTGATAAGGTGGGAGGGGGGGGGGGGGGTACTTTGGTTGATGATTGGCTAATGGTTACACAAGCCAAAAAAATCGTTATGACATAAAGTGGCCAAAATCTGACAGGTTTTTATATAAATGGATCAGGACAAAAAGTGAGCAAATCTTTTTTCCTGAAACTTTCAGAATCTCTTTACACAGAGGGGACACATGTTTATGTATAAAAGACATGAGAAAGTGGAATTTGCATAATAGGTAACCTTTAAGTTCCTTAAGAGTTCAAAATAAGTGTATTTCCTTTCAAATATAAATCTTGGCAGCTTTTTCGTCTCTCATATTTTGGTAAGAGTAAGGTCTCCTTTTTCTTTGGATCAACAAGAAAACGATGAAAGCATTGAAATGTATGCTAACATGGAAGAATAATCTGAATCTAAATAATATATATGATACTATTGTCTGTCCAATAGAACACAACATATCCATCACATCAAGTACACCATTAATAACCCTTTTCCTATTTATAGAAAGTTGCATATCCGACTCAAATATAGTCAAATGGACAGAGGGAAGGAACAAATGTTGTTCCTCTATCTTTATAACAACAATCACACGATAAACATAAATATTTCCAACATGTTTTAATTGGAAAGTCATAGTACTTTCCACTAAAGTGACTTCAGCATGCCTGTCCGCTGGGTGGCGATGAAGAGCAGCTTTGTGGACTGCCTTAACATGACAGAAGAAGACCCAGCTTCCATGACACTTGTAATGTACTACTGTTTACTTTTTGTCAGCCGTTCTTTTCTCCAGCCACATCTGAATTTAAACTCAGTACAATAGTAATCAAATGGCCTTTGCTCTGCCAGTGTGGCTCGCGGTCCAGAAGGAGCTCCTCGAGCAGACCCACGTGGATCCGACGTGTTTCGACCAATTCGACGACGGTGCTTTGTTTCTGGTGTTTCACCTCACCAGACCATGTATCGCGTTCATCACAGACGCTGTGCGCATCCGCTTAAAGAAAATCGACTCGAAGAAAGGAGAACTGTGCGCGGACGAGATGGTCATGGTGGCTCTGAACTATTACGCGCATGGAGTTGCCTCCCCCGACCTCCTGCTGAGAGCTGGACAGAGCCAGGCGGATTGCCCCGAGATCCTCAGCACAGTCTCCGAGGTATTGGCGGGGATGTCCGATGCGTTCATCTCCTTCCCACTGTTCCACAATGCCAAAAATAGTGTCGCCTCTAGGATTGAGAAGTTCTGCGGGATCCCAAACGCGCTGGGCGTCCTGGCTCCAGCACACTTTAGGATCAGAGCCTCTCCATATGAGAAGGAGAGGTTCAGGTCTTTCCTCAACACGTTGGGTTTCACATCGGTGTCGAGCCAGCTCATATGTGACAGCGACGGAAACATACTGAGTGTGGAGAAGTGTTGTGTGGGCAGCATGTATGAGGAGGACATGTGGTACTCATCCATCAAAGGGAAGGAGATGGAGGAGGAAGTGCATGGACCGTTTTGGGTTATTGGTAAGATACAAATAATCAAAAGCTGGATCAAAGTGACACATTATAGTAGCCTACATTACAGTGTATAATCATCCCACTCACACATCACTACTTCATTGCCTCCCTGTCAATAAAACCTACTCAAGCAAAATACATATAACTCAAATGTAGCTTTGTATCTAACAGTGTATTTGTTTCAAATAATAAAACAAACAAAAACACTACACTACCACAACAACATGCATATCTGACCAAGATCTTTTTTTAAATTGGCCTTTGAGCATATGAATCCTTAAAGAAATGGCCTACATTTGTTCTTCATGTTCCCAGTGACCTTTAAGCACCAACTTGTTATCAGTTTATCCTTTAGTTCAAGTAGAGGTTTTCCCCAGATGTAAGGAAATTCCCTACAGGCACAGAGATATAAATGTTCTAATGGTTAACAAATGAATGTGAAGTGTGACTGTGTGTCAAGCGTTCAGTTGTATGTCAAAGACTCACCAGAGACCAAGTTGGCCTTGAAGCAAAAATAAAACTGTTTCTAAAGAATTAATGTAATACTTCAAGATTTCAAAAGATCATATCACATCATAACAATGTCAGTAGCATTTTGTAACAACCCCCTGTAATGCTGTCATATCATACAATTACTACTTGATATCATGTTATTAGTATAATTATATTATATTACTATTATTATATTGTATGCAGGAACGTTACACATCCTTTTTAGTGTCAGTTCTGAAACACGTATGCTTTGTCACTTCATCCACCACTATCTTCTGGTTTAATCATGCGGTTTCCTTTAGGGAAGTGTACAGTTTCTCAATTGTCTGCCAAAAAAAGGCAAGTCTGGTTTGTACCCTCCACAATTAATGCTACATATTTTTAATTGCATAATGTCCTGTCTCTTTAGGTGGGAAAGGATACAACCTGAGCAAACATGTCCTGACTCCTGTGGCAGAACCTACAAATGAAAAAGAGATCCGCTTTAACGAGGCCCACACAAAGATCCAAAAGGTAATGCGGAATACACTCGGCTCCATGAAGTGGCGTTTCAGGTGTCTAATGCAACTTGGTTTTGCAAACGATGAATCTTTGGACAAAAAAAACAACATCATCAAGGCATGCTGTGTCCTTCATAACCTCGCTAAGAAGTTCTCCGTCCCTCCCCCGCCTGTAGCTGGTAAAATTGAGCCCCTGCATCCAAGCAAGTTGCGAACAGTGCCAGCCAAGATCATCCCCGAGGCCTTAAAAGCCAGACAGGAAATCATCGATGTTAAGTTCTCTAGCAGCTTCAGTAGCCAGGACACATCGAATCAAGACACATAAGAGGATGCTTGAGCGGGTGTGTTGTCATCAACATACATCGAGGACAATCACTGGACCCAAAACCCAGCTCAGAATGCAAAATGTAAATAGTTTGTTACTGTTGACACTAACGGAAAATGTGACGCATGTTGTCTTTTCATTTCATTTAAAGACTTTGTAAACACATTCAGATATATTTGTTAATAAAAATTATTTTATTTCTTGTACAAATAAAGTCTGAATGTAATGCGAAAAAATTCTTCAGTCATCATATTGTTCCCTCACATGATGATAATAATAATGATAACAAGAATCATACACATTAAGCTGATAAGATGAACACAATGTTATACATTAAATAAAATCTAAAGATTACTATGAATTTATATTAAAATATAGGCTTACATGTTTTTCATATTTACAGTTTAGCAAAATATAGCATGTAGATTTAGTTATTATAAGTACATAAAAGACTGATGATCAGTACTGTCAAGTTGTATAGTTTATGTTTTTTTGTTGAGGAAACTCTCGGAGTGCAGTGGCGTTGGCGTAAATCATGTCTTCATTCTCATAGATGTTCTCTTCAGTATTCTCATAGATGTTCTCTTCAGTATTCTCATGAGGCTGCAGGCAGTCCATGATGCAGTGGTGCAGGAACACGTACTGAGACTGAAATACACAAACCAAATCTGTGGGTCATGTGGAAAGCAAAACTTTGGGGTTAAAGTATTAATTCTCACACTGTGCTCTGGGTGATACTTCCTTAAAGATGTTTATCATAATTCTCTAATAATGTAAGCCAAGCTTTTTGTGTTTGGACTTATTAACATTTATAATTACACAGAATGTAAAAGTATTTTGTAAACACACACCTATGTGCAGTGACACATACATTAATACATTGTTATTGTGTAATTCTGGTAACATTTCTACCTTAGTAGGTTAAATGCGGAACTGAAAAAGACAACTGTTGGAAATGTACATCTACGTGGAAAAATACGCAAAGCTTAAACTTGCTATAGAACAGTGCTTGTACTGTTTCACCACCTGTTTCCACAAATCAAAAGATTATAAAGGGTACCTAAAGAAGTCATAGCTCAGAATGAGGGTTAGTTTTACCTCAGTTTGCACCATGTGTGGGCGACTCAGTCTCATCTTGTGCACAAAGCCATTGATGCCCACCGCTCTTTCTTTCTCTAGCTGCTGAAGCAACACATCCAAGGCCATGATAGTGCCTGTCCTCCCCACTCCAGCACTAAAAGAGAGACATGCAGCAAAAGGTATGATGGTCACCATCATGTAGTCCCATAAGTCCTGAGCAACTATTCACTTTATACTGACGTGAAAATTCAGCTAGTAAGTTTCAAAAGCTGATATTTTATTTAAAATGTGTATGCATATCTATATCATATGATGTAGCAGTAAGCTATTCATTTGACCTAACTACAGGGCTCCTGTCTTTGACCTTTGTCTGATTTCTTGTTCCACTGAATTGTTTTTTAAACAAAACTGCCAAAAGAATAGCATAGGTTACTCTCCTGACGTAAAACTTGTACCTGCAGTGAACCACAGTTGGTGCTCCAGCCCCGTCTCTCTCTATGTGCCGTCTCACCAGTCCTCTGAACTGGATCAGTACTTCTGTGCCCTCAGGGACTCCGTGATCAGGCCAGGCAGTGAAGTGAAAATGTTTCACTGTGCGCTGCTCTGAGTTGTTCCTCTGTGAAGACGATGCAAATAGAGGAACTCAAATACAGTAAATATTTGTGTTGAGCAAATATATTTCAAGTTCTCAAGCATTATCCTCTTTAAAAGCATATGTGCACAAACTCAAACAAGCTTGTTTTATGAAACATTAAATAGTTATTTGTGACTTGGAAACGTATTAATAAGAAGCCTATTAAGTTACATCATAAACATTGAAGAGGGTTTCATACATTTTTCACTCTAAATTCCCTCAAAGTCCAGTCGGGCTCCTGCCGCTCAGACCTAAGGGTTACTATCAGCTCTCCCTGAGGCACAGGCTTACTGTCTGCAGGCCAATACCGCTCACACTTCGTCTAGGAAAAAAACATAAAGAAAAATAGGTTATTGAAGTTGTGGCAATACGTGTGAATGAAGTCACCATTTGACACTTAGCAAATTATTAACACTGACTCACTGAATGAAGTTTGTACTTCCTTTAAAATCTGGCTTTAAAACTTTTTTCAAATGTCCCTGTTGACTTACCCTTCCTCCTTCAGTGCAATTGGTTACCATAACGATGCCTTTCACTCGTTGTTCCCAGATCATCCTCCAGAAATGATTGACAGTTGTGGGCAGAGGACCCTGACAGGCAATGTAGTCTTTGCTGCTGTTGTAACCCTGAAAAGCAATTGTCATTACATGAAATCCCAGAGAATCAACATTAATTGCTAGATTGAGAGAGAATGAATGTTCATGCAGGGTTTTCATTGTTTATTAACCATTTACTTGCATAAGTGGCAATTTCACTCCAGATAACAAATTATACAATGCTTATCAGATATACACTTATTAAGTTGCCGTTATTAAGCACTACCTACCGGCATGTAACTGGCGTTAATGTAGTCAGAGTTTCCATTGGGATTGGGAGTATCTAGCTTCACCCGACACCAGTCATCTAGGACGAAGAAAAGATGGTTTAACTGCAACAACACACCACAACAAAATAGACGTTGTTTCGGATGAGTCAGTGGATCTGGACCATTTCATGAGTCTCTATTGCTCACGATGTCCCGGTCCAGAGGACAGGCTTACATGGCAGAACATTGTTGAAACGGTTCCTGGGTTTGTTCTCGGGTAGAGTGGCTGCATTTCGTGTTTGATCGGTGCCAACAGGAATGAGGCTCTGCATGGAGGATGGCAGATGACATGGCATGAAATTAAGACAAAGGACAATAGAAGGAAATTAAAACATTAAAGTTGTTCCCTCATAAGCAAAAATAGGAAGAGCTCTGAGGAAGAACAAAACACAATTTGCTATTGTATGTACCTCATATTCCTGGCTGAAACCTCGGTTTTCATCCACGCCTAATTGGTAGAAATGGTCTGGAAACTTTGCCACAGGAATAGCTCTGAAATAGAAAAACATAATGGCAATATTTGAATTGATATCACGTGTTAATGATATGTAAGACCATTGACATACATTAATATTAAAGAACATTGACGTTAATTGTAAATAGAACATATCTTTACACATGGAAACCCTCTTATTCTTTCAAATTATACAACACATAATTTATGTTTTCAATATATTGAAAGTATATTAAATAATATAAAGATATGATGACGTATACTTACTTGCTCTTTTCTTTGGATTGTCTGGAACCACCAATAAATTGCTTTTTTCTGCTTTGGGAAATAAGCAAAGAGGGAGTCTGATTTAGACTAATTTAGTTAATTTCAGGAAGATAATCTCACTATAGTCACTGAGGTGGCACCAACCTGATAATATCCGGTCTTTTTAGAAAAATAAAGACAACCAGACAGACCAGGACCGCAAAAATCAGAACAGCAAAGAATGACCCAGCAATTACTCCTACAAGAAAATGATTCTGGATTAAATGCTTGGTAACATCCAGATACTCAGCACAGCAGACATTATAACCACACAAAAAGCAAGTCATTTAAAAGATGCCAAACAGCAAAATAATAAGTAAAAATATATTGGTAAACTGTTTCATCAGGATACACTGAAATTGTATTTTTATAGAGTAATACAGGAACTTTGACTCACCCCTTGGATCAGTAAGACACGAAAAAACGAATGGTTCATCACTTCTTACATCTCCAGACACTGAAGCTATAGACACCTCATATTTTCTGGCAGGTAGGAATCCAGAAATGTCCAGAGAGTGTTTCCCATTTTCAAGCTTTTTAAGAGTTTTCCCGGTGACGTTCACCTCCACTGAAGTCCAGATACCTTCCGGTTTATTCCAGATGATGGACATAGAATAGCCGGCTGCAGAGTACTCACATGAAGATCTTAAATACGGAGGAACTGAGAAAAACAAGTGGAAATATATATTTCAATTCAGAAACCACAACACAAACCTGTCTAGCTGTTATCATAGTTCACAAGTTCATTGAAAGTTGTTTACTTCCCATAAAAGTCACAATGCAACATACAGTAACACGTGATTAGTCAATTTACAGAAAATCCTCTTAAAAACTATAATGCTATTTAATTTGTTTAACTAGTGAGTTTAACTACCCACGACAAGTTTGACCAGTAATTAATGCTTTCTCAGAGCTTATCTGTTTTACTTGTTTGGTATTTACATTTTTTGGGGGATAGTTGATTGTAAAAAAAGAGGAGAATTTCACTTTTTAAAGACAAAGTAATGTTCCCATTCTTTAGATAATAATTAATAAATGTATTGTTTAATACATTATAATAGCAGCCCATATACTCAATTATTTAAATGCTGAAATCTTGAATCTTACAATATAGATTTTAAACATTATGTTAGTACTTCACATTATTGTGGGGAACACAGACAAATATTCAATTCATGTGGAAAGACAGATTTGTACTTACCGATTGTCACAGTGTGTCTACATTGTTCAAATGTCGTGACATTTTTCTCATATTGAAGGGTCACGTTATAGGTCGCGCCAGGGTAAAGTCCAGAAAATGACACACTGCTATTTCCAGTACTGCCATTAATTTGGGTTGATGTGTTACTGGCTTCTGCACTTGAGAACAAACCTCTAACCGTTCCTTGGATCGATGAGGTAGTTACATGCCAGTTTCCATTTGCACAGTCTATGCCTGAAAAGAATGAGAAAAGAATTGCAGACAAAAAACTTCAGTTTCACAGTTAGCACATCATTCTATAAGATAATCATAATTTGCAAGAACCATGACTGTGTTCATTTTATTTCAAATACCTGTTACTGTGAAGCCTTCATAAGCAATGCTGCTGAGTCCAGAGAACAGTGTAATGACTCTGAATGGATACTCTGTTCCAGGCTCGAGATTTGGGATTGAATGGGACACCTCATCCATGGTTCTACTTTGGAGGATTGTTCTATTTTCCCCATTCATTTCGAGCCGGTAGTCCCAGTCATTTTTCATTCTGTGCCACATCAGGGTTATGTTGGTCACAGAGCGTTCAGTCACATGGACAGAATCCACTGTTGAGGGAACTGAAAACACACACGCCATGTAACAACATGAACACATGTAGGGTTACAGAGAGACACAGGTTTAAATATGCAGTGAATTAAAAAACATTCAGTCCGACATGAGGATTAAGTGTGAGTAATATTCCATGGTTTATGACAACTTTTAGAGACAGTCTTTAAAAGTAAGATGCTTGTTTAGATGTATCCTAGATATTACTATAGAACCGTGTTGTGGTTCCTGTATCAGGCCTATATCAAAGAGGAGAAATCTTACCAGTGTCAGCAAAGTAATTTACTCCAGTGCTTTTGACATTTACAAATACAGTGAGGAGACTGACATTGTATTTGGTCCCACTTGTGAGGTTTGAGATTACATATTTCACTTTGTCAAGTCCCTCTGATGCAGAGACGTTTATCATACTTGTATTGATCACAAGTGTATAATTGAGGATTGCATTCACTTTCCGCCATTGCAGAGTTATACTGGTCTCATTTTGTCCAACTGATTCTAACTCTTCTGTGTTACGGGGAGCTAGGATGTAAGAAACACGATTAGCATTGGTCACAGCCTAACATTTGGAAAAACTGCAAGATATCGATGATAAAACGTATGGTTTTTGGGAACTTTTCCCCCCAGACAAATAAGTTACATTTAATTCCAGTATTGTATCAATGAAAATTAAGCATATGAAGCGAGGTACACCACAGTTACTGAGAAAATTAAGATTACATATTATTGCAGAGCTTTGCCTATATCATATAAAAACATCTCTGTGACTGCAGTGTAGTTTACTCCAATGCTTAGGACATTTTCAAACACAGTGGAGAGACTGAAATTGTATTTAGTCCCACTTGTGAGCCCTAATATGTTGTATTTAAATGTGTCTTATCCCTCTAATGCAGTGACATTTATCAACATCTCATTGAACATGAGTGAATACTTGAGGATTGTATTCACTTTTTGCCCCTGCACAGTTATAATGGTCTCATTTTGTGATATTAATTGGAAACCTTCTGCACTATGGGGAGCTGGGAAGTAAAGAAACATCATAAATGAAACATAAAACAGGATAGCCAAGATACAACTTTGTGTTTTGTGTAGTCTGCTCCCCCCTAACAATTATACGTTTAATTCAATGTCAGTATTTTATTAATAGGTCAATTATATGAAGCGAGCAACACCCCCTTGAGAAACTTTAAATGACATATCATAAAAGAGCTTGGCCTAATTTAGAGAGAACGTCTTACCTGTTACTGCAGTGTAGTTGACTCCAGTGCTATTGACATTTTCAAACACGGTGAAGAGACGCAATTCGTATTTAATCCCACTTGTGAGTTCTGAGATTGTTTGTGTCAATAGAAGTTCCTCTGATGCAGGGACATTTATTTCCTTTTCATTAAACACTAGTGTATAATTAAAGATCTTTTTCAAATTGTTCCACTGCAGAGTTATACTGGTCTCATTTTGTCCAACTGATTTGAACTCTTCTGTGTTACGAGGAGCTATGATGTAAAGAAAGACAATAATCTATAAATTCCAGCATTTTATCAGCAACAGTCAAATAAATGAGCAACAGCCACAACAACACAGAGAAACTTTTATAGACAGAAACATCTTACCTGTGACTGCAGTGTGGTTTACTACAGTGCTTTTGGCATATTCAAACACAGTGAAGAGCTGGAACTTGTATTTAGTTCCACTTGTGAGTTGTGAGGTTGTGTGTTTCACTTCAATATCAGCTGTTGCAGTGACAATAATCTCCTTTCCATTGAGCCCAAGTGTATAGTTGATGATATCGTCAACTTTGTCCCACTGCAGAGTTATACTGGTCTCATTTTGTGTAACTGTTCGGAAACCTCCTGCACTAAGGGGAGCTGAGAAGTAAAGAAACATGATGAAGGAACAGTCACAAAATTACACAGAAGGATACAAAAATGACAGCATTTCCTGTATAAAACTTTGTATTTGTTGTAGTTCCTTTCCTCCAACAAATAAGTTGCATTCAATTCCAGTATTTTATCAATAACAGTCAAATATGTAAAGTGAGCAACACCCCCCAGTTAATGAGAAACTTTAATTGACAAGTTATATTTGCCTGTATCAGAGGGAAAACATCTTACCTGTGACTGCAGTGAGGTTTACTCCAGTGCTTCTGGCATATTCAAACACAGTGAAGAGCTGGAAGTTGTATTTAGTTCCATTTGTAAGATCTGGGATTGTGTGTTTCACTTCAGGACCAGCTGTTGCAGTGACAATAATCTCCTCTCCATTGATCACAAGTGTATAGTTGAAGGTTGCATCCACATTTTTCCACCGCAGAGTTATACTGGTCTCCGTTTGTTCAACTGATTTGACATTTTCTGTATTAAGGGGAGCTGGGAATTAAAGAAACATGATGAAGGAACAGTCACAAAATTACACAGAAGGATACAAAAATTACAGCAAAAGATTGTATTTTGTGTAGTTCATTTCCTCAAAAAAATAAGTCGCATTCAATTCCAGTATTTTATCAATAACAGTCAAATATGTAAAGTGAGCAACACCCCCCAGTTAATGAGAAACTTTAATTGACATGTTATAATTACCTGTATCAGAGGGAAAACATCTTACCTGTGACTGCAGTGAGGTTTACTCCAGTGCTTCTGGCATATTCAAACACAGTGAAGAGCTGGAAGTTGTATTTAGTTCCATTTGTAAGATCTGGGATTGTGTGTTTCACTTCAGGACCAGCTGTTGCAGTGACAATAATCTCCTCTCCATTGATCACAAGTGTATAGTTGAAGGTTGCATCCACATTTTTCCACCGCAGAGTTATACTAGTCTCCGTTTGTTCAACTGATTTGACATTTTCTGTATTAAGGGGAGCTGGGAATTAAAGAAACATTACATTACATTACATTGCATTTAGCTGACGCTTTTATCCAAAGCGACTTACAATAAGTACATTCGACCAGGAAGACACAACCTTGAAGAAAACAGAATCATATAAGTACATCAGGTTTCATAGAGCCAAACATTTCAAGTGCTACTCAACTGGCTTTAGATAAGCCAGTCCTTTATTAGTATATAAGTGCTTTGTTAATTGTTCAATTGCTCGAAGTGGAGTCGAAAGAGATGAGTTTTCAGTCTGCGCCGGAAGATGTGCAAGCTATCTGCTGTCCTGATGTCAATGGGGAGCTCATTCCACCATTTTGGAGCCAGGATAGCAAACCCACGTGTTTTTGCCGATGGGAACTTGGGTCCCCCTCGCAGCGAGGGCGCAGCGAGTCGTTTGGCTGATGCAGAGCGTAGTGCACGCGCTGGGGTGTACGGTTTAACCATGTCCTGGATGTACGAAGGGCCAGATCCATTCGCAGCATGGTAAGCAAGTACCAGTGTCTTGAAGTGGATTCTAGCAGTTACCGGAAGCCAGTGAAGGGAGCGGAGGAGCGGAGTGGTGTGGGAACATTTAGGAAGGTTGAAGACCAAACGAGCCGCTGCATTCTGGATGAGCTGCAGAGGTCGGATGGCACATGCAGGTAGACCAGCCAGGAGGGAGTTGCAGTAGTCTAGGCGTGAGATGACGAGAGCCTGGACCAGAACCTGCGTCGCTTTCTGTGTCAGCTGGGGACGTATCTTCCTGATGTTGTAAAGCGTGTATCTGCAGCAACGGGTTGTGGCAGCTATGTTTGCAGTGAAGGACAGGTTGTTATCTAGGGTCACACCCAGATTCCTTGCAGTCTGAGTCGGGGAAACAACTGAGGTGCCGATGTTGATTGTTAGGTCAAGAGTGGGACAATCTTTTCCCGGAAGGAAGAGCAGCTCAGTCTTGTCAAGGTTGAGCTTGAGGTGATGAGCAGACATCCACTGAGAGATGTCAGCTAGACAAGCAGAGATGCGTGCGACGACCTGGGTCTCTGAGCGGGGAAAGGACAGAATTAATTGGGTGTCGTCAGCGTAGCAGTGGTATGAAAAACCATGCGGGCTAATGACTGATCCGAGTGAGTTTGTGTACAGGGAGAAGAGGAGGGGACCAAGAACAGAGCCCTGAGGGACCCCTGTAGTTAATTGACAAGGGTGGGACTCAGACCCTCTCCGAGTCACCCTGTAGGTACGGTCTTTCAGATATGAAGTGAGGAGGGAAAGTGCAGAGCCTGAAACTCCAAGTTTTTGGAGAGTGCAAAGGAGGATCTGATGACTCACCGTGTCGAAAACATGATTAAGGAACAGTCACAAAATTACACAGAAGGATACAAAGATTACAGCAAAAGATTGTATTTTGTGTAGTTAATTTCCTCAAAAAAATAAGTCGCATTCAATTCCAGTATTTTATCAATAACAGTCAAATATGTCAAGTGAGTCATATGTCATATGTCACCCCCCAGTTAATGAGAAACTTTAATTGACATGTTATAATTACCTGTATCAGAGGGAAAACATCTTACCTGTGACTGCAGTGAGGTTTACTCCAGTGCTTCTGGCATATTCAAACACAGTGAAGAGCTGGAAGTTGTATTTAGTTCCATTTGTAAGATCTGGGATTGTGTGTTTCACTTCAGGACCAGCTGTTGCAGTGACAATAATCTCCTCTCCATTGATCACAAGTGTATAGTTGAAGGTTGCATCCACATTTTTCCACCGCAGAGTTATACTGGTCTCCGTTTGTTCAACTGATTTGACATTTTCTGTATTAAGGGGAGCTGGGAATTAAAGAAACATGATGAAGGAACAGTCACAAAATTACACAGAAGGATACAAAAATTACAGCAAAAGATTGTATTTTGTGTAGTTCATTTCCTCAAAAAAATAAGTCGCATTCAATTCCAGTATTTTATCAATAACAGTCAAATATGTAAAGTGAGCAACACCCCCCAGTTAATGAGAAACTTTAATTGACATGTTATAATTTCCTGTATCAGAGGGAAAACATCTTACCTGTGACTGCAGTGAGGTTTACTCCAGTGCTTCTGGCATATTCAAACACAGTGAAGAGCTGGAAGTTGTATTTAGTTCCACTTGGGAGATCTGGGATTGTGTGTTTCACTTCAGTATCAGCTGATGCAGGGACATTCATCTCCTCTCCTTTGATCACAAGTGTATAGTTGAAGGTTGCATCCACATTTTTCCACCCCAGAGTTATACTGGTCTCCGTTTGTGCAAGTGATTTGAAACCTTCTGCATTAGGGGGAGCTGAGAAGTAAAGAAACATGATGAAGGAACAGTCACAAAATTACACAGAAGGATACAAAAATTACAGCATTTCCTGTATAAAATGTTGTATTTTGTGTAGTTCATTTCCTCAAAAAAATAAGTTGCATTCAATTCCAGTATTTTATCAATAACAGTCAAATATGTAAAGTGAGCAACACCCCCCAGTTAACGAGAAACTTGAATTTACATTATAATCAGGGCTGCACATAACTGGTGCGCAGGTGCGCATGCGCGCCCCCCGCAAAAAAGGAGCACCGGATCATTTGAAAAAAAGCGCATCTGCGCACCAACATTGAGAGAGAGAGAGAGAGAGAGAAGAGAGAGATGAGAGACGACAGAAGAGAGAGTATAATTCGCGAGCCATTTAGATTACATTTTTTTGAGCCACCCGCACGGCATCTGCGATCCCTCGCTCTACCCCTCGCTATCGTGTGAAGGTCATAAAGTCAAGTACCCCTCAAAAGGTCCGGTTTATTTCATTTTAAGGATGCGCACCAAGCAACATCTCCAGGTACTCCTTTGAGAACCAGGGCAAACAAGTTATGTGCACCCCTGATTATAATTGCCTGTATCAGAGGGAAAACATCTTACCTGTGACTGCAGTGAGGTTTACTCCAGTGCTTCTGGCATATTCAAACACAGTGAAGAGCTGGAAGTTGTATTTAGTTCCATTTGTAAGATCTGGGATTGTGTGTTTCACTTCAGGACCAGCTGTTGCAGTGACAATAATCTCCTCTCCATTGATCACAAGTGTATAGTTGAAGGTTGCATCCACATTTTTCCACCGCAGAGTTATACTGGTCTCCGTTTGTTCAACTGATTTGACATTTTCTGTATTAAGGGGAGCTGGGAATTAAAGAAACATGATGAAGGAACAGTCACAAAATTACACAGAAGGATACACAAATTACAGCAAAAGATTGTATTTGTTGTAGTTCATTTCCTCAAAAAAATAAGTCGCATTCAATTCCAGTATTTTATCAATAACAGTCAAATATGTAAAGTGAGCAACACCCCCCAGTTAATGAGAAACTTTAATTGACATGTTATAATTTCCTGTATCAGAGGGAAAACATCTTACCTGTGACTGCAGTGAGGTTTACTCCAGTGCTTCTGGCATATTCAAACACAGTGAAGAGCTGGAAGTTGTATTTAGTTCCACTTGGGAGATCTGGGATTGTGTGTTTCACTTCAGTATCAGCTGATGCAGGGACATTCATCTCCTCTCCTTTGATCACAAGTGTATAGTTGAAGGTTGCATCCACATTTTTCCACCCCAGAGTTATACTGGTCTCCGTTTGTGCAAGTGATTTGAAACCTTCTGCATTAGGGGGAGCTGAGAAGTAAAGAAACATGATGAAGGAACAGTCACAAAATTACACAGAAGGATACAAAAATTACAGCATTTCCTGTATCAAATGTTGTATTTGTTGTAGTTCATTTCCTCAAAAAAATAAGTCGCATTCAATTCCAGTATTTTATCAATAACAGTCAAATATGTAAAGTGAGCAACACCCCCCAGTTAACGAGAAACTTGAATTTACATTATAATCAGGGCTGCACATAACTGGTGCGCATGCGCGCCCCCCGCAAAAAAAGGAGCACCGGATCATTTGAAAAAAAGCGCATCTGCGCACCAACATTGAGAGAGAGAGAGAGAGAGAAGAGAGAGATGAGAGAAGACAGAAGAGAGAGTATAATTCGCGAGCCATTTAGATTACTTTTTTTTGAGCCGCCCGCACGGCATCTGCGATCCCTCGCTCTACCCCTCGCTATCGTGTGAAGGTCATAAAGTCAAGTACCCCTCAAAAGGTCCGGTTTATTTCATTTTAAGGATGCGCACCAAGCAACATCTCCAGGTGCTCCTTTGAGAACCAGGGCAAACAAGTTATGTGCACCCCTGATTATAATTGCCTGTATCAGAGGGAAAACATCTTACCTGTGACTGCAGTGAGGTTTACTCCAGTGCTTCTGGCATATTCAAACACAGTGAAGAGCTGGAAGTTGTATTTAGTTCCATTTGTAAGATCTCGGATTGTGTGTTTCACTTCAGGACCAGCTGTTGCAGTGACAATAATCTCCTCTCCATTGATCACAAGTGTATAGTTGAAGGTTGCATCCACATTTTTCCACCGCAGAGTTATACTGGTCTCCGTTTGTGCAAGTGATTTGAAACCTTCTGCATCACGGGGAGCTGGGATGTAAAGATAATTGTAATAGTTAAGTGTGTATATTGTCATGTCTCTCTGCTGCTAAATATAGTATATATAAGTGCGTGAAAATTATTATAATACATTTACATAAATACACGATTATCTGAAGAAGAAGAATTCAGTGTGAGACAAAATGACATTATAATGGGCCTTCATACAAGTCTGCACTATAATACAAGTCAATACAGACAGAGATAAAGGGCAGGGGCTCAAACTTACGAGTCATTGTTTTTGTAAGGCTTGTTGATGAAGTGGTTGGAGGTTCGCTTGATGATGTTGCCTCTCCTGTTGATGCTGCGGTTGTCTCAGTAATGCCCTAAAAACAAAAAAGGAATCGTTGGAGAACAGTGAGAATAGACTAACCCGCAAAAAGTATAATTTCATACAGTCCAACATTTCCAGAAGTGTTTAACTGACTCATAGCAGAGATAACTCTAATGCAATATGTGAGTATCCCAAAGCAATTACATTTTTGCTGTTATAATCTACATTATATTTTTACATGAACAATTGTGAACGGCAGTGTGCAAGAAGGTTAAAATACACTCCTCGTCAACAATCTTTCCTTCATCACGTACATCTATTACATAAAACTTCAGGAAATGAACCATTTAAGATCTTTACATTTAAATTATGGCCAGAAAAAGGTTGTAGCATTTTACAATCACAAATATATGCTACTTAAAAAGATGGCAAATGATTCATTCACTGCTTGCTAAAAATAATAACAAGCAAATCCGGATCTACATTCCCTACTATATTATACCTAAGTATTCTTATAAATACAGACAATAATACAAGAGATTATCAAGTTACATTTCTTTGTCTGAAATATATAATAAATAAAATACAATTTGTTGAGGTATAGCTTGTTTTATGATTTACGTTAAGTTATTTCCTCATTTATCTTTTTTCTCTAAGGAAGTCAGTAAAAACCGATTACTGACAAAAGACTAAATTAACTCGTATTTCACCATCTACAAAAAGTCCATTCTTATGTTGTGCATCTCTTTTTTTCTGTACATACGGATATTTCCGGCAATGCGTTTCACTGTCTAACCGTTATGGTAATGATTCATATCATGCATTGAACCATTGCTGTGGTTTTTACGCTTTTCCTTTGTTGAGAGTACCTATTCTTTGAAAAAGGTGAAACATGTGATCACTGTCAGAACAGAAATATTTTTAAAAAGGCACTTACCCAAAGCAGACTCAGGAAGAGACACAGCAGAAAGTGGTCCGAGGTGATTTTGAAAGATAAAGTCTCCATCGTAATCACGGTTCATTAAGCTACACACATGCTATGAACCTGTACAATTCCTTTGTTGTCCCAAGACCAACTTCAAGTTTCTATTTTCAGTACTGCCACGGGTGTGTTGACAAAAACAACACTTGAGGTTGCCGAAGAATTTTTTCGCTGCTTGCCTGACGCAGTCCAATATTAACTTTATTCCAGTGGTGTTGACTTTTAATTCTTAACCATGTCCTCCTTCTCTAACCTCTGATCCCCTCTCATATTGGTGAGAGACTAAGTAAATAACTGCTTCTCCTTTTTGGCCTTGTACAACCACAGAGACCTTTGCCCCGCCTGCTACTTCCTTATTAACGGTCATAATGTGATACTTGTCAAAGGTAAGTCAATCAACTACATTTGCCTGTTTTATATCGCATGTTTATTATGGTAATTGCTTTACATCTACTGTTTTTTACCTTATCAGCTTCATGTCTGTGACAGCCTGTGTTTTTTTATGATGTGTAAATAAAAATTGACAAATGTTTTATGAACACAGGCCAAGCTTTCAAAAGTGGTGCTCAAGATAAATTATATTTGTTTTGTTTTCTAACTTTTTTAAAGGATTATTTTAATTATTGCTAATAAGTAGTTAAATAACTGTCTTGTCTCTTCAGTTGGTCTGGTTTCACAAAGCAGTCCGTTTTTCGGAAGGCTGCTATATTTATAGCTTCCTTGTGGTTAAGATCTATAAGGAACTACGAGCAAAAAACATCACCAGCTACATTTCATCACAACAGAACCTGTAGTCATGACAGTTTTTATGCTCACATTTTATGGTGCAGAGTGCAATAAAAGTGGTGGTTTATCAGATCAAATGTTGTCTAATGTTTTTCATTGGGGAAACATAAGGAGGAAATTACCTTTATAAATGATCATATTTCTATTATTTATTGGTATAACATAATCTCAATAAATAGAACTTCCATGTTAGATATTGAGCTTAACCAGTACTTGTAATAAAAAGCATTTGAATTAATCAAGCAAACTTACTGTAGTCTATTTCATATCTGTCCCCTTCTGCAGGATAATGTAACATTTTAGAATCTGCAGTCTTAATAAACTAATAAACTATTTAAAATGTAAAATGGAGCTCCTGTTTTGTGAGTCTTAATCCATTTAGACATCCAATTCAATTGTAATTTGAAGTATGATTTAATTTAAATCTATCAAAGTCTGAATCAGGCTGAAAGGATATGAGGTCCTACTGTGCACCATGTGTATCTGTACACAACTAGATACAGGGTTTCCCACAACTAGACTTTACTTGGGCGTGACGTCCAGGTATATTAACGGCCGCACAAGTATATTTCGCGACCCATTTAGTTGTTTTCTTTTATAAATAATAAAAAAATATGTATTATGTCCAGGGAGGCTGTGGCGTAGTGGACTAGTGCGTTGGTGTTCGGATCAGGGGAGCACTGGTTCAAACCCCACTGCAGTCAGCATGTCGTTGTGTCCCTGGGCAAGACACATCACCCCAAATTGCTCCTGAGCGATTGACCACAGTGTTGAGTATGTAAATCGCTTTGGATAAAAGCGTCTAACAAGTAACATGTAATGTAATGTAATGTATTGTGAACGCAACGCTGCGCAAATGGGTCTGCCTCACACAGGGTGACTGGCTGTCTACATGATGTGGCCTGCCGACATGGCCACTGTCACTGGCTCGGGATAACCTCAGCTCAGGTGAGGTATAGGACTCTCTGAGTGTTTAGATAGTTAACTTAGTCTAAGTTCTCAGTGGGTCTCAAACGGTTTGGTCACCATTTATGTAAACACATATTTCCATTTGAGGGGTAGTGATTAGTCAAATATGCATGAATTTTTAAAAAAAAGTTAACTAGGTGAAATAAGATAAGATACACTTTTAAACCTTGTTGAGAGCTAAAACTAGTCTTTGCTGCTGCCTCAAAGAGGAACAGGGGGAGCAGGGGGAGAGGAGGGAGACAGGTGAGGCTGGTTCAGGAGCCCAGACACACTCACAACTATAAATGAACCAAAAATAAATAAATAAACAAGTTTCAGTGTTTTTTCATATTGGATATGGTATTGGCCATGATTTTATGGAAATGTATACAGTTCTGTTTCATATGGGTGTTCCTGTTCCCATAGATCTAGTCTCTTTATTTCCCCCTCAAAATGCACCAGATTGATGCATTTAACTCAAATCAAAAAATCTTACCCACTTAAAATCACATGGACAGGTTCCTAAATACATTTACAATTTTATTTAAATAGTAACCCATATCCATATATGTATTTGTGGGTAGTAGATTTAAACTATAGGGCTATCACTATGGGCAGCAACGCTGTAAATATTGACAAATAATACCAGCAAAATGGCACAAAAAAAAACTGGTAGTTGCCTGGCTGGGTGTATAATTTCCGGCCCGACTTATTGTCTCGGTCCGGCCCTGGCTGTACCTGTCCACTCTGCCATCGCGTGAAGGGTCTGCTCACAAGCGACCAACAGAAAGGTTAATGTTGTTGTTGCAAGTCACCTCACCTTACCGACCCCCCCCCCCCCCCCACAGATCTGAAAGTATATTTCAGATCTGTGGGAAACACCGAGACACATTCCTGTACATGTATATTCCTCTTATCCTCTACACTTAATCTGTTTCTCTTTAAATCAGTGCTTTTCTCTTGGACTGGTGTTGAGAACCTTATCACAGCTGTTTCAGTTCCCTTGTGAGTGGCACACCCTCCTGGATTGATTGCGGTATGATCACTGTGCAGTCATTGTGTTTGTTCATGTAACTTTGAAATAAATGTAAACAGCAGTATATGGTCCCTTTTATTCAAAACATTAAAACTAGTAGCTGTAACATTTGGTCGTGTATGTATTGTGTTTAGGTTTGGGTAAACAAACACTCTATGATGTAATTCGTCCCAAACACAGGAGAGGGCAGTAGAGATGCACACAAGGATGCACATAAAAGACCTAACTAGCTTACGTTAGCCAGAGGAGGGTCTCTGTTTCTTTTTTGTAAACAAGATAAAGCCAGCCAGCGTTACTTTTACTGACAGGTGAGTGACCAACAGCAAAATGTGACATTGTAATGTAACTAACAGACTGTGCCAACTGTCGTACTTGTCGTTTACATCAACTAATTGTAATGCTAATTTAGTGCTAACAGCTTGTAGCTTCGGCTAACTTTCAGTGATAAATGTGAAGATAGCGTTAGTCACTATTTCCAGTTTATTGAGTACTGGGCTTTTGTGGTAGGGCTCATGTCTTTGCTTAATCTAACTGTAGAGATCTTCATTTCTCAGCGAACACAATGTTTTAATGTTCGCGTAACCTTGTTGACTATTGGCACATCCCACCTGAACTCAATTCACTTCATAAACACATGACCACAGCTTGACTGATGTTTTACTGAAGCCGTTAAACACCGGGTGCATAAAAGCTGACAAGCACAGACGCAAACATCCTATATTAGCTCACTTCACTGGGAGAGTGAACAACACAAGCATTTGGTAGCCAAGTTAGCTGGAAGAGATATGAGAGGTAAGATATCCCTTTGTCCTCTGTACTGCTCTGTGCTACAAAACGACAGACACGATTATCTGTCTGAAGTTTAGTAGTGGTTTTATCCAAACTGGAGTTGGTTTACCTATATACCAGTCACATTGATTGCAATATGTTTTTGTCTTTTAGAAATGCAGTCCGTCGTCAAACAAAACCTCCATGCGGAGACTGAAGGAGACGTCAACAAACTCATCAACCTGAAGCTCAATGCATCCTACGCCTACCTTTCTCTGGTAAGATTTATTTAAGAGTAGCGTTAAAGGTCAACAGTATAACACCAGTCCTTATATGACTTGTGACATTTCAAATCAAGTTTTATTTATATAGCACATATAAACGATCTTTGGTCGAGCCAAAGTGCTGTACATATAATAAAAATAGCCTACAGTAGAGACACTTTACAGCAAATACAACAGCACAGATTGTTCAGAATATCAGTATGAGAAAAACGACATCCTCTATCCTATTTGTCATGCTTTGTTGTCAGATTGGTGTGTCCGGGCCTTCATTAAAAGGTCCTGACACACCAAGCCGATTTCGGCCTACTCAGATTGGTGTGTCCGGGCCTTCATTAAAAGGTCCTGACACACCAAGCCGATTTCGGCCTACTCAGATTGGTGTGTCTTTTCGGCCGTGGCGACACCTTCCGTTGCCGATTCACCTTGTTGAATCTGCAGCGGAGGCTGTCGGCAAAATAAATCACTGATTGGCTGTTCAGCTTAGCGAAACACTATTTGCCTGAATGGGAGTGGAGCAGTACTTAAGTAAATGTACTTTGTTACTGTCCAAAATCTGCCTAGAAGCATTTTAATGTTGTAGCTGTTCAAGATGGTCATTTTAAAATGTTTTTAAAAATATACTGTTAGTAGTTAAACCAATAATAATGCTAGGGCTGCAACTGAAAGTTATGTAGGCACACTTTTTTTCTTAATGCTGTGTGATTAAAAGAATAAACACAAATAGCAGGATAGGCACACATATTTGCTATATCTTGCGCCACTGAAAAGGCACTGCACCGATACTGTTAAAATATTGGAATAGTTCATGTGCAGCTTGGCTCGAGCTGTAGCATGTAGCTATTTGTATATATCACGCAGTCTGTCTTCCGGTTGCCTCTTTTGAATGACGAATACACACTACCGACGCCTGCTGGTAGGAGAGTTACGGCCCGTCCACACTGCGGCGTGCGTTGAAGCTTCAACGCTTCTGCCCATTCACTTTGAATGGGGTGACGTCACACTTTGCCGAACTTTGTGGGAGCTTCGCGTTGCTCGCTTCAAAAGTAGAGCAATGTTCAACTTTGGAAGCTTCGACGGAAGCGTCAGCCAATCAAATCATATGCCAGTACAAGCTCTAGCCAATCAAACCGTGTGCTTGTGTGTCCGGGGCGGGAGATTCATGTGATTGGTTGTTGGTCGAGCTTCAGACACGCCCGCCGGCAAGCTTCAACGCACGCCGCCGTGTGGACGCTGCGTTATTGCGACTCACGCATGCGCAGTGTGTACGTGCTACTTGGCCGTCGGCTGAAGTCTTTGCGGTGTGTTCCAGTGCGACTTTTTGGCCAAGACGCAGGAGACGTGAGGCGACACAACAGTCGGGTCCGTCGGGACGTGTTATTTGGTGTCAGTTTGGTGTGTCAGGGCCTGTGCACAGAAAGACCTGTGTTTGCACAGAAATAAACAATAAAGCTAGCCCTCTTTGAAAGTTTGTGACTGTAATCGTTAAATGCTTTATTTATCTCATCTCCTGTAGGGGATGTATTTTGACAGGGATGATGTTGACCTGCCTAAATTCTCCACGTTTTTTCTGGAGCGCTCCATGAAAGAGAGGGATCAGGCTGAGAAGCTGCTGGAATATCAGAACATGAGAGGCGGCCGAATTTTGCTTCAGACTATTGCTGTAAGTCCAGTTTTTGTAGTGTCATTTTCAAGCCTTTATTTTAAAAACGTGTACATATATTCATCTAAGTATCAACTTTCTATTTTAGAAACCAAGTAGAGAGGATTGGAGAGGTGGTCTGGATGCAATGTCTTTTTCCCTGGACTACCAGAAGGTTCTCAACACTTGTATCCTTGATGTGCACCGCAGAGCTGGCACCCATACTGACCCTCACGTAAGTGGCACTGTTAGATGAATATAGATGCTACTTGTTCTCAGGTGATTGTCAAGCTTACAGATAGTAAATACGTTTTTTTAAAAAGCTACTCTTGATAATACGTTTTTGCACAAGAATATTATGCAAAATCAGTCCGTTAGGGTTGTTTGTTCTATTAAATATTAACAGTTTCCCAGTACCCCTTGTATAGTACGTTTAACATCTTACTCACTTTTTCCTGTCTTTCTTCTTTTGTAGCTGTGTGACTTTCTCGAGCAGCACTTCCTCCCAGACAGCCACGACACCATCAAGAAGCTGGGCGATTACATTGGCAGTCTGACCCGCATCACTGCGTCCGAGACACACGGTCCAATGGGAGAATACCTCTTTGATAAACACACACTGTAAAGGTCAAACCATTACAGTAAAGTATGCTCGACATTTTGAAATGATACATGGTGTCAAGAGAGCAAAAGTCTCTCTCTTCTCCGTTAAGAAAAGTATACAATATTTTCAGATTAGCACAAACTTTATTCTTGTACCAATGGCACAAGAGAAACTTAAAGCTAAAAAAACAAATACCTCATTTTGTCATTAAAACCACACTTGAAAATAATGTTCTCAATAATATAGTTAAAACCACATTTTTCTTCAGTTATTAAAAAATACTCATTTAAATTCATGTGTCATGCATTCCAGTGTCAGAGGTTTATTCTTCACATATCTTTGTAAATTGATACTATTTTGAAATAATTGGAGTCTTTAGAAAATCATTGAATAAAGACAGATTGTGCTATATCTTTGTTGTCAGTCTTTCTTACAACTGTATGTTCAGATAGACTATCTGATCCTACATGCACTCTAAACACAGTCTGTACTTTTCCCGATGTCATGTCAGCGACTCCCTATAGAACATTGTAAAGATAACGTTGGGACTTTGCTTAGTCACTGCTGGGGGGAGCTTCATTTGTAACATTAGGCTACCAGCGTGTGGTTAAAAATGACCATGCTGCTTCTTTAGTAAATTACATGTTTCAGCAAAGATACGATTTAGTTGCAGGAGGGTTTGAAACAGTTCTTCACAGCAAGGCGTGGTCTTTTAAGGTTTCAGTTGGGGTCTAGACCAGCAGTTCTGAAACACACCCAAGATAAATGCTACGAATGTGTTGTGTTGTGAAAAACATATTTGATTATTATTCTATTGAATTAATTCAGAACCAAAGAAAAAATCGTGACTAAATGAGAGCAACAGTGTTTACAAAACACTATTAGGGTCTCTACTATTGTTGTGTATACTTCATTTCGAACAGATTAAAAAAAATAACATGTGAAAAACAGAATAGCGTATTGTTAAAATACAGTATTTATCCACATTCATGATATTTATATATTCAACAAAAAAAAAGTCTTCTTAATAATAAATCATGTGTCCGAAAGGGAGCAGGAGGAAGAAAATGCATATTAATTCCCACCCCTTACTTGATCAATGATTGTCCTTTAAATCATTATGCAAGTTATTCCTACTTACATTTACTTGAAGTCTTAGGGAGTGACATCGTATTGAAAAAGTCCTGTTAATTAGCTGACTCGAAAGGCGGCGTGTTGACAAAACACTCTTACACACTACAGAGGGAATAAAATCAAACCAAGTACAACAGCCTAGTCTAATATATTTTTTCATATTTTTTTGTAATGTTATTATAGTGTTCTTAATATAGTTCACTATCTGTGTTTTTTTAAATTTTTGTTTTACTTGTGTATGCACCACGACATCTAGTCAAATTCCTCGTACGTGTCAACCTACCTGGTAATAAACCTGTTTCTGATTCTGATAGAATAAGTATTATATTGTGCTCTTTTTTCCATTTTCCCTATGCAGTTTAGTTAGTTATCTATTAGAGGAGGCTGTTGCATGTTGGATTGGAGCCACTGAGATCTCCAGATGTAGCAGTGCAAACATGTGGCAGCGAGCCTGGGATTACTGTTCACAGTGCTCTAAATGTGGTTGTACAGTAAAGCGATAAACCAGGGGATGGGAGGGTGGAATATCCACTCTCAGTGAAAGTTGTTGGTAGATTGCCGATTGACAGCGAGGACAGCTATGCTGAGGGGATTAGTGTAGGCCTAATGTATTACAATCTCTTCAATCTAATGGATAAACATAACCACCACTGCCATGTTTCCTCAGTCTAATGAAAAGTCACAGCTCACAAGGAGAAGCCCTAAAACGGTTAAAGGTGTTTTAAATGTAAGTAATTTAAGAAAAAGTGGCTGTTGCTCTCTATGCACCTTCGTTCAGAGACATACAGCAACAGATGTGTTGTCAGCGCTCTAGTATCCGGAGGAGGGGGGGGATTAAATCACGACGCAGCTCTAGTGATTTGCCAGCGCTTTAGCTTTGGTAGAAAGGGTTTGTAGGGAGACTGCCAAACAGACTGCGCAGCATACCGAAGGAACGATGGGTGTGTAACGACTACAAAGGGCCAAACGGGAAGCAGTAAGAAATACACTTCGAACTAAAGTTGGTCCAAAAGCTGTGGCGGCATAGAGGGAATTAAAGGGACATACCAACAGGTAAGATGCAAGAGTATGAGTGTCTAAACATGTCGAGGATTAAGAGCTCTGCATTGAAAAATAATACCTGTGAGGAAAAAGCTAACATTTTTTATTCAGATTTGTTTTTGTTTTGTAATGATAGCATCACATTTGGTTTTGAACAATACCCACTTTAGAGATTGGCAAACTTTTTGATGGGTTCTTTTGATGTGAATGATGTTCCTGTAGTTTCCTATGAATCACCCCAACACACAGTTTATATGAGTTGAGTATAAATGTGAACAGATCCCAATAATGTTTACATTTTAGTCAACATTTTTTTTAAAGCACCTATAACTATAGAAAGGAGAAATTGCTGTTGGTAGGGTTCTATGAAACGAGCAAAAACAAGTACATATGTTTGTAAAATTATGTTATTTATTGGTTTAAATTGTAATGGGACAATTCCATTTTCATTAAAACTAGAAAGATTGAGGTTCCTCATCAATTTCCCAATAGTTCACTGTTTCTTTAGAAATGTGCCTTAATAAACAGTCGTCATTCCAGAAAACTCCAAGGGAAATAGAATGAGGGAGGAGACCAACTCCGATTTATTTTTAGCTTAGGGAATCTGGGATTTTGGATTAATATTGTAGACCAACAGTTTAATCCAGTTACGTGGAGAGACAGTGACGAGAGAAAAATGGGGATGAGACCAACGGGTGGGAGTGAAGGCGTGGGTTATGGGGCGGGGGAGATGAAAGAGTGGATGAGAGTAACAGTGGGATTAGGGTCAGCCATGTTGAGCATCTGGCTTAGAGATGTCCTATGCTCTCGAACTGTACTGCCACACATTGGACATAGGGATTACACAGCGCACATACCAGGTCGTGTTATCTCTGACTGTAGGAGCCAACAATCACAGCACTGATTCTGATGTTTTCACAGCTGATATGAGGCTGGGAAGCGTCCGGGGCCGGAGGGCTGCGGAGCCGTCCGAACCAGAACCAGAACTAAAATCAGAGGAAGCTACAGAGCCGGTCCATCATGAGCACTCCCATTCAGAACACCATGAGCACTCTCATTCAGAACACCATGAGCACTCGCAAACAGAACATCACAACGGCCACGAATACAACCACATGAAGGAGAAGTTCATGAATGAACTCGGTCATCTGCCAAGTAAGCCCCTTATAGAGTTGACAAAACAATTATGAATATACTTTAATGTACCTGTTGAAATAAACTGTACAACTTGAGATATTATTTGGAAGAGGCAAAATACCCATGATTAGGGCTAACATGACATATTTATGGTAATATAAATTAGCAGTTTAGTGTATTTTTTCAATATTTTCAAGATATTGTAAAATTATTATTGTAGTTTTTGAAAGTCTTCACTAACCCAAACAGTAAAGTTAGTTTGAGCTTGTTTTCTTGATCATTTTACCAAATAATTGTAACATTCATCATACCTATGAAATGGTATGGGGAAGAAGTGCACGTCAATTGTTTTTACCCTTAACTTAACAACTACTGCTGAAGGGCTCTCAGTTAGGCCCTTAATGATGAGCTGCACTGCGTGGGGCGGTGGTTGTACCACTCCCAGCCTAGAGTGTGTTATTATCTGATTGTGGAGAAGGGTGTTGCTGACAACACACAGCAACCGACCCTGCATAAACAAGTGCTTAAAAATGTGAGGTCATGAAATGCTCATAAGAACCCTCCGAAACACCTTAGAAAGTAGCAGCAAATTGAATTTCATCAGTGTCATATTTGGTTTTGAGAATATGTGGCATTACCCCCTTGGTTCTGTTTCAAAGCTTTGAAAAATAAGTTTATATTTAGTATAGTTGGACTGATTTTGACCACAGGAGCAAGATGAATCGAGAAGTGGATTTTTCTTTGATGTGGAGTTTAAAGGTTAAGACTTCTACCTTAAGATCAGATTCATGTACATGTTTTTGTATATGTTTTGTTGGGGTTTCTGTAGTTGCTATAATTGTGAAGGTCACAGATATCTTTACTTTCTGCCATGATAAATATTCTCCCTTTTTGCCTGAAGTGAATGCTGATGAGTGATTTCACCTTCTTGTTATTTTGCAGTTCCCGTGTGGGCAATAGCAGCCATTGTTGTGGTGGTCTTGGTTTTGGTGGCATGCTGCATCTTCTGTATGTTCAAGAAATGCTGCGGGAAAAAGAAAAAGCCAAAGAAAGTTAGGGAGAGGAAAACAGGTCGCCGCAAGAAGGAAAAAGAAGGCGAAGGAGAAAATGGAGAGAAGGTATGTCATTTCCAGAAATATTGTTTAATCTTACCAGATGTAAATATTCATGATGAATATCCAAAGCACTGGTGTTTTTTTTCCGGGAGGAGGGAGATGTAAAGAAGGAAGGAGAGCAAGAGGAGAAGGAACAGGAGAAGTTGGGTAGACTGGAGTTCTCGCTGGACTACAACTTCACAGATGCTCAGGTAGGTCCTGTGTGAAAACAAAGCTTTCAGTTTCAAGGATGAAATGACTTATATATAGATTCAACAAATAACTATCAGTAAGGAATGTGTATCTTTTTTTATTCTGACCCTTTCTGTCTTTCCTCTGTAGCTCATAGTGGGCATCCTTCAGGCTCAGGACCTTGCTGCTATGGATATGGGGGGAACCTCAGACCCCTACGTCAAAGTGTTTTTGCTGCCAGACAAAAAGAAGAAGTACGAGACCAAAGTTCAGCGCAAGAACTTATGCCCCGTGTTCAACGAGACTTTCATCTTCAAGGTACCACATGCCTGACGTTGTGTCTTTGTTGACTTGATGTTTGTCTGCTTGTTTGTTCTTTCTCTTTATGTCTCAGCTTTTGTTTGTGATCCAGGTTATTGATGACATGTCATTGTTTACCCCTTGTGAGGCAGAAGTTGGCCTGTGTCTCTACGTCCCCTCGTCTTTAGTCCCTCATTCCCTGAATGGCGTCTGTCAAGGTATCCCTGTCCGCAAAAAATATCAAAGCAGCATGTTTTTAATTGTCTCCATTGTGTGGATATGCACATGCTGTCATATGTTAGCAGAACGGTATACTTTATCCCTTTACGTAATATACATCCTAATGCTGTATTAAACTCTCTTTGTAGATACCGTATGCAGAGTTGGGCGGAAAGACTTTGATTCTGCAAGTTTTCGACTTTGACCGTTTCTCAAAGCATGACATGATCGGTGAGATAAAGATTCCCATGAACAGCGTTGATTTGGGCCAGCCGATGCAACAATGGAGAGATGTAGAGAGTGGTGAGAAGGAAGAGGTAAGCTTGATTGTGTTCTTGTATTATTACACCCTGGCTCTTCCTTTAAGAAAACTAATCATCTATGATGATCAGAATTTGTTTTATAAATTATGCTCTCATCAATTTGATTAAACATGGTGTTAATCCATAATGTTTTATTTTCAGCAAGAGCAACTGGGCGATATTTGCATTTCTTTACGTTATGTACCCACTGCTGGAAAACTGACCGTGAACATCATGGAGGCAAAGAATCTGAAGAAAATGGATGTTGGTGGTTTATCAGGTAAATAGGTCTCCTTCATCTAATTGCTTTATTCTTTGAAAAAAACATTCTCATGGGGTAATTGAAATAGTCCAACAAAACAAAACGATACCATCCTCTCTTTCTCTTCCTTAAGATCCCTATGTAAAGCTTGTTCTGCAGCAAAATGGGAAACGGATTAAGAAGAAAAAGACGACAGTCAAGAAGAACACACTAAACCCTTACTTTAATGAGAGTTTCAGCTTTGAAGTCCCATTCGAGCAGATACAGGTACGCTGTGTTTTCATATCAATATTTATTTTTAAATGTAACTGTAACAAGTTCTGAGTTTACAGTGTTGATATTGGGAATGATGTCTATCTTTCTGTCTTTCAGAAAGTGCAAGTGGTCATCACAGTGTTGGACTATGATAAACTTGGGAGCAATGACCCCATTGGAAAGACCTTCATGGGTTATGGAGCTACAGGAGTCGGTCTGCGCCACTGGTCAGATATGCTCGCTAATCCCAGACGTCCGGTGGCCCAGTGGCACACTCTCCTGCCAGAAGAAGAGGTCGATGCGGCAGTCAAAGCTAAACCTCGTTAAAATCGCACCTTGTTTTAGTGTGACTAACCTGCCGATATGTTACTTATTGTTAATCCTGATGCTTTCCCAATTTAGATGTTCCTGTATTGATTTTGTTTAATTTAAGATACTTAAATGTGTGTGTGTATGTATGTGTCTGTGTGATGTACAGACAGTTTTTGATATTTGGTTGTAACTTGGCATCCCTCCATTTACCTTTTACTGTAAACCAATATGACTTGTAGTATATTTGGAAACAATTGTATGCTCATGTATTGGCATAGTAACTCTTGGATGCATAAAAGAAGGATATCAGAGTAACTCTGTGTTCTGAAAAGTTACTCTGTTTACTTGGTGGAGCTTCTATTTCTCACAACATGTACACTTGAGCCTTTGTGCTCTTTTTGTAGTGATGTGGTGCAGGTCCCAAATAAAACTTGTTGTAATGCTTTGGATCTTTTCAAAATAAACTCACAATGGACAGTTTCACATCAATGCTTCTCTCGTCTTTGATTCAATTAAGATGTAGTTGAGTTAGTTTCTTCATGCATAATGTAGCCTTATCACAACATACAATACGTTTATACTTCTCAATTGTTTGTTTGGGGTTGGTTTGAAGCTCTTGAAAATCTGATAAGGGAACGTTGAGTTGAGTTTTGGAAAATGTATAAGGTCGCAGTTCCTGCAGCGTTTTGCATTTGTTTTGTTATCTCCTTATACTACTTGTTACACTGACAGACACATAGGGAAGTATTTTGGACATAAAACTCTTTCTACACATTGATTTTACTTGCTAAATATTCTAAATGACCCAGCCAACAATCCAATATCCTAGAGAACTGAGTAAGATAATAGAGGATTATTGATAACATAATTATCCAATAATATTTCCACCGGTAGATGGCGCCTATTCTACCCATCTAGAAACAGTTGCCCAGCAACAGAACCCAAACTTTCTGCTGAAACGGTTAGCTACAAACTTTACTCTTTTGTTAGACTGAGAGGTACGTTTTATCTTTACTTTTCTTCACTTTACATTATTTGGGTAGAATTGCTACACCATTTATGAAAGTATTGACCTAAGAGACGGGGTTGTGCCCCTTGAACAGCTTCACTGATAAGCTAACAATGTTCTTTTTGACCAAGTAGGCTATGCTAATGTTAGCTTGGGTTAAAGTTCGCGCTAAACGAAGCTACCTCAATGGAAAGTGTCTACATTATCATAAACATTACCTTACAGCTTGAGCCTTGAACAGTTTACAGTCTGGTGTCCGGGCTTGTTGTGTGTCTTATTTTTTCGGTCACATTACAGGATGAGTGCCGGACGTGCTTCAGAAGGAGCGGGCTGCATCACCTGGTGGGGCTTCAGTCCTGCGCGAGACCTGCTGAAAACAGGTGAGTGCCTCGAGCCCGCGGGGTCCTCTACACAGGTGCATCAGATCAACAGTAATTAGGTCAACATACTTTATTTAAGTTCCCTGTTATAACATTGATATCACAATCTAAAAATATATTTTATTTCATTTTTTTAATGACTTTTTTTCAATACCTTACTATAAAACCACAAGTCCTTTAAAACATAATACAATAAAAAGGATTTAATACTTTTTTTTAAAGAGGTCAAATGTTGTTGATAAACAATTAATCATTAATAAACCAAACCAGAATGTGTAGGCCTACTGCCTAAATGATACAGTCTAACATTTACAAATGTATGATTTTTTTTGTATTTACACAAAATATATAATGTAGTTATCTAATTCATGATCTGTATAAACAATTATTTAACAAGGCTAGATGCCAACTTTTAATACTCAGTGCTACAGACACAGTTAGCTCAGGTCAGAATAATTTCATTGCCATTTACACTGTAGCTGCATGTGACAATAAAAACTTGAATCTTGAATATTAATTAAGCATGGTTAGTACCCGGCCCTAGAAGTGTTCTGTATTTTAACTACTGTAATAAGCTTTGTCCTTCTGTGCCAGGCCCTGTGAAACGCGGTGGGGATGTAAATGTTTTACTGCTCGGCAGTGGAGATCCACGACATATTTTGAAGACCATTTCTGGATTGCAAGAGGAAGAGAGACTTCATGTGAGACTCTCAGTCACTTAAACTGTCTTTGAATCCCTGAGAACAAAGATATATACTCAACTGTGAGCTGCAAACTTACTTTCTCGGCTTTACTGCAGGTGTGGGTGATAGAGAGCAGCATGGAGGCGGTGGCTAGACAGCTGCTGCTCCTCTACCTGGCACTGATGCCAAAGGAAAGCGTGGGAAATAATGGTTTGTGCGATTTGGTAAAGTAAAAACGTTATAAATAAGTACAAATTAAAAAAAAACACATTTGAATAATATTGACATTGTTGTTTCAGAAAAGACAGAGGTTTTCCTGGAGGTGTTTGGGAACGGTGAGATCCGCAGTCAGACTGAAGAGACACTGAGACATGCAGCATCGCAGCTTTCTCTCTCTGTTACTGAAACACTGGAAACAGCCGCACACCCCTGTCTAAACACAACTCTCCTCAAGGTACAATCCTCTTTGTTTCTTCATCAGACATTGATGTCTGCTCAGAGACTAGACTTTCATATACTGTTTGATATTCCCACAGTTCAAGGAGCGAGATGAGCTGGCCAGGATATTTAAGTTGTGGATCCAACCTAAGTCTTCATCATCTTCATCTCAGAGTGCTGCCCCTATCCTAATGTCCAAAGCCTGGGATTATCGGGTCAGGCAGCACCTTGGAACCCGCTACGACTCTAAGAAAGGCTGCTTCGACTGGGACCTGAAAATGAAACTGCACGAGAGAGGGGTATTTGAGTTGTTGTGTACTTTTCATTTGTTTGTAGAGTTATTTCAGGCAACATTTAGAAGAGAGAATCGATTAACGATGGACAATCTTTCTGTATCTGCAGTGCGGTGTCATCAACAAACAACAATATGCACGATGGAGGGAGCGAGGTTTGGCGTTTGAAATGAGGGAAGGTGTCTACCAAATAACCAATCCAAGTTTGCTCTCTTCCAGAGTGTTCAGTCAGGTAACTGTCGGTTTTTCTGCGCAATATTGTCTACACAACACAGCAATACGATTACATGAAGGAACTTTGTATGTGTGGACAGAAAGGAAACAAAGTGGCTGTCAGGGGCTACTGGGGAGACATTGTTTCAAGTCCTTACCTCTCCTTTGGCATTGAGACTGATGACAAGAGCATGCTGAAAACACAGAATGGGCAACACATCAAGGTAAAATATATTATAGCTATTGTCTCTGCTTCCTCTTATCATACAGTTGCATTACGTTGTGCATCTACCGACGAATATATGAATGTCTGTCCCTTCCTTTCCCCACATCCACAGACAGCCCAGGATATCTCCTTTGCAAATGTGCAGGAATTGTTCCACTCCCTGTCCAGCAGACAGGGCTGCCCCCCCACTTCTTCTCAGTCTGACGCAGATCAGCCGCCACCAGAGTCTGAGCGAAAATCTGTCACCATCAACGGTAAATGGCTGTTAGCTCTAGCAGCCCTGTGGCTTTAGA